GATAAAGAAGATATGGTACACATAAACAACAGAATACCTCTCAGCCCTGATAGAGTGAAACAATGCCATTTGTATCAACATGGTTGGACCTAGATTATACTAAGTAAGTCAGAAAGAGAAAGACAGATACCATGTGATATCACTTACATGTGGAATCTAAAATATGACAAAAATGAATTTATCTGTGACACAGAAACAGACTCACAGATATAGAGAATAGACTTGCTTAGCGGAAGGGGTGTTGAGGAGGAAAGGATTGGGAGTTTGTAATTAGCAGATGCAAGCTATTACATATAGGATAAACTGCAGAGTCTTGTTGTATAGCACAGGGAACTATATTCAATATCCTCTAATAAATCATAATGAAAAAATATGTATATATATGTAGAACTGAATCACTTTACAGTAGAAATTAACTCAGAGTTATAAATCAATTATACTTCAATAAGTTTTTAAAAATAAATTTTAGAAAAGCTATACAAAAAAAAGCTATACAGTAGTATATATAATATGATCCCATATGTGTAAAACAAACTATATATTTGAGCTCTGTCTTTCTATCTTAAATATTCATATATAGTATCTGGAAAGACGTGAGAAAATCCCCTAAGGGGTGACTGTGGGCAGGATGGCAAGAGGGATTTCATACCTTTTTGTTTCCTTTGATTGTGTTTTCCTTTTTTAATTTTCTCTTTCCAGTCTTTTTACATCTTCATCTTTGCTTTTGTTTTCCTCTTCTTCTTTTTTTTTTTAAACAGGCTGGTGTGTGTCTCTGTCATTCTTTAAGTTTACATAAATGTACAGGTACATATAGGGAGCTTTGTTTTTATAAAAATAGGAAACATTGTAAATATCTTTCTGGAATTTGCTTTTCTCTCTATGGATATGTATTTCTACAAGTAGATCAAGTTCTTTCTTTTTAAAGCTGTGTACAATACATACCATAATGTAATGGATCCTCATCTGTAGAAGATGTTTTCTGTTTTTGCTCTAACAGATAATATTGCAGTGAATATCACTGGACGTTTATCTTTCTACAGTCTTGTGCATTGTGTAATATTAATACAACTGTAAGATATGAATCAGTGAATTATATATATTAAAGAATGTTTGATTGAGGAGGTGGGAGGAAGGCTCAAGAGAGAGGGAATATATATGCACATGTAGCTGATTCACTTTGTTGTAATGCAGAAACTAAACAACATTGTAAAGCAACTCTATTCTAATAAAAAAAAGTTTGATTGATATGGCCAGTTGTCTGTTGTAAAGGTTATACCACTTCAGCAGCCTAGACACAGTTAAAACCAAGTCAGTCAGTTCATTCCCTTAGTCACGTCTGACTCCTTGTCACCCCATGGACTGCAGCACGCCGGGCTTCCCTGTCCATCACCAACTCCTGGAGCTTGTTCAGACTCACGGCCATTGGGTCGGTGATGCCATCCAACTGTCTCATCCTCTGTCGTCCCCTGCTGCGTTCAGTCTTTCCTAGCATCAGGATCTTTTCCAGTGAGTCAGTTCTTCACATGAGGTGGCCAAAGTATTGGAGATTCAGTTTCAGCATCAGTCCTTCCAAGGAATATTCAGGACTGATTTCCGACTGGCTGGATCTCCTTGCAGTCCAAGGGACTCTCAAGAATCTTCTCCAGCACCACGGTTCAAAAACATTAATTCTGCAGCCCTCAGCTTTCTTTATGGTCCAACTCTCACATCCATACTGAGAAAAATAATAGCTTTGACTAGTCGGCAAAGTAACGTCTCTGCTTTTTAATAAGCTGTCTAGGTTGGTCATAACTTTTCTTCCAAGGAGCAAGTGTCTTTTAATTTTATGGCTGCAGTCACTATCTGCAGTGATTTGGAGCCCGAGAAAATAAAGTCTGTTACGGTTTCCATTGTTTCCCCATCTATTTGCCATGAAGTGTTGGGACCAGATGCCATGATCTTAGTTTTTTGAATGTTGAGTTTTAAGCCAACTTTTTCACTCTCCTCTTTCACTTTCACCAAGAGGCTCTTTAGTTTTTCTTTGCTTTCTGCCATAAGGGTGGTATCATCTGCATATCTGAGGTTATTAATATTTCTCCCTGCAATCTTGGTTCCTGCTTGTGCTTCATCCAGCCTGACATTTCATATGATGTACTCTGCATAGAAGTTAAATAAGCATGGTGACAGTATACAGCCTTGATGTTCTCCTTTCCCGATTTGGAACCAGTCTGTTGTTCCATGTGTAGTTCTAACTGTTGCTTCTTGACCTGCACACAGATTTCTCAGGAGGTAGGTCAGGTGGTCTGGTATTCCCATTTGTTGGAGAATTTTCCACAGTTTGTTGTGATCTACACAGTCATAGACTTTTGTGTAGTCAATAAAGCAGAAGTAGATGTTTTTCTGGAACTCGCTTGCTTTTTCAATGATCCAGGGGATGTTGGCAATTTGATCTCTGGTTCTTCTGCCTTTTCTAAATCTAGCTTGAACATCTGGAAGTTCTCAGTTCATGTACCATTGAAGCCTGTCTTGGAGAATTTTAAGTATTACTTTGATAGCGTGTGAGATGAGTGCAATTGTGTGGTAGTTTGAACATTCTTTGGCCTTGCCTTTCTTTGGGATTGGAATGAAAACTGACTTTTTCCAGTCCTGAGGCCACTGCTGAGTTTTTCCAAATTTGCTGGCATATTCACAGCAGCACTTTCAGAGCATCATCTTTTAGGACTTGAAATAGCTCAACTGGAATTTCATCACCTCCACTAGCTTTGTTTGTAGTGATCCTTCATAAGACCCACTTGACTTCGCATTCCAGGATGTCTGGCTCTAGGTAGGTGATAATATCGTGGTTATCTGGGTCATGAAGATCTTTTTGTATAGTTTTTCTGTGTGTTCTTGCCACCGCCTCTTAATATCTTCTGCTTCTGTTAGGTCCATAGCATTTCTGTCCTTTATTGACCCTGATGCTGGGAAAGATTGAAGGCAGGAGGAGAAGGGGATGACAGAGGATAAGATGGTTGGATGGCATCACCGACTCAATGGACATGAATTTAAGTAAGCTCCAGGGGTTGGTGATGGACAGGGAAGCCTAGAGTGCTGCAGTCCATGGGGTCGCAAAGAGTTGGACATGACTGAGTGACTGAACTGAACTGAACTTACATGAAATGTTCCCTTGGTATCTCTCATTCAGTTGTTTTCCTCTATTTCTTTGCATTGATCACTGAGGAAAGCTTTCTTATCTTCCCTTGCTATTCTTTGGAACTCTGCATTCAGGTGGGTGTATCTTTCCTTTTCTCCTTTACCTTTAGCTTCTTTTATCTTTCCTTTTTCATTTGCTTTTGGTTAAAACCAAATCCTGATTTAAATACAGTGCTTTCCAAAAGGAGCTTAGGAGAATGACTGGTTCTGATCTGTGACCGGTAAAGGATAAATTCAGCCTAGAAACAAGGAAGTCCTCAAAGACTAATGGGGTCTTGTCAAAAGGATACAACAAGCAAGGTGGAAGAGGCCATATTTGCAAACTGACCAAATTGGGCATAGCTTGAACATCAAACAATCCCAAATAATAGATTCAGTAAGAATTTCAACAGATCAGTCCACCTCTGCTGTCAGAATCCATTCACAGCCACTGAGTATTTAGCTGAACGAAAACTGTTTCTTTTTTCCAGAAATAATTTCCTTATGTAACATTTTTTGTATTCTGATGGCATTTTTGAAGAATTCCCTACACTTGCTTAGATCCATAAGCTAAGGAAGTCCCAAGTATGCCAGAAAGCCCTCAAATCCCAAGTGTTCACAGGAGATTTTAGGTAGGAGAGAATGGATTAGAACATTTCTGTACTTCTTAGATATTTAGATTGACTTCTATGTAATTACCAAAATTACAAATTTACAAAATTAATAGATCAAAAATGGTCAAATAGCAGCAAATTTCTTGTTGGTGCATGCTTTAGTGGCAGAGGCTTAGTAGTACATTATCTTTAACTGCCAAACGATCTTTTTTCTCCCTTTGGTTGTAGCGTAAGATTTTCTCAAAGGAGAGAGGAAGGATCTGGATTGATCCAATTTTAAAGGGAATTGTGATGTGGAGTAGTATTGTAGTTGTCTTGGGCTGTTTCTTCATATCAAAGGTTCCACTCCCATCCCCCTACCCCCATGTACTATGGTTATCCTTTTAGTCACTTATTACCTCTTGTCTCTCTTCTTTCTCAGTAGTGGGAAATGAGGGGTAAGGAAAGAACATTCTTCTAGATCTTCTTTTTTCACTTTAAACTCTAGATTGGTCTTTTTGAATAGATTTTTTGCAGGGTCTTGAAAACTTGAGATTTCTAGTTTCCCTGGTTCATTTCCAAAGAGAGCACTTAGAAGTTTACCCTGCAATGCAGGAGACACGTGGAAGATCCCGCATGCCACAGAGTACCTAAGGCCCTGTGCCACAAGTACTGAGCCCGCATGTGGCAGCTACTAACACCGGCATCCCTCCGGCCCGTGCTCTGTCACAGAAGCCGCCGAATGAGAAGCCTGCACCCTGCAACTGGAGGGCAGCTCCAGCTTGCCGCAACCACAGAAGAGCCCGCCAGCCACAAGGACCTAGCACAGCCAAAAATAAAAGGGGAAAAAATTTTTTAATGTTTACCCTAGTAACTCATATAATATGAAAGGTAACGTAGGTTAAGGGATTTCAGGTGCATTGTCTTTTATAGAATATGAATAATGAAATAATAACTCATGAGAGATTGGGAAGTAAAGTTTCAGGGTGTGAAGGGAGTGTCGAAGTTATGACATCATAACAAGATTCCTCCCTGGGATATGGCCCTTATAAAAAGGGCCATTAAGAAAGTGACTTCCTTAAAGAATGTTTTCTGAGCAACCATGTACAGTTTTACTATTTCCTCTAAGAAGTTCATTGGAGGACCTTACCCCTTAAGGAAATGTGGTCAAACCTGTATATAAATAGTTTTATTAAAATCCTTAGTTCTTGGCAAGCTGAATCATTGCCACCGTGAAAATTATTGTTTGTGTCCCAGACAGCTGCTCACGAAGCAATCCTCCATGCCTCTGGAAATGGCACACCTTCACCAGCTAAGGACTACTGCATGCTATATAACCCTCACTGGACATCTCTTCCAAGTACCCTAGAAAATGCAGTAAGTAAATCACAGTTTCTATTTATTTATAACAAAATATTGAATGGTGAGAATGAGTGGTTATAATGTTTCCGTATGTAACCTAATTTTAACATTATGATTAATAAATATTTTTGCTTTTGCTTTAGTATTTTTCTCTTTATGAGAAAAACAAGTTATAAAATTAAAAAATACCTACCTCAAAGCCTGATTGTCATCAAATGTTTCTAATTTAAAGGAACTTTGTGTTAAACCAATGTTGATACTCTCTTTGAATGCCTTTAGGGTGAAATATGATATCTGTAATATTAAAGACATTTCTTCTTTCCAGACTTCCACTAGTTTGATGAATCTGACTACCACACCACTCTGCAACATTTCTGATATTCCTCCTGATGGAATAAAGAACAAAGCAGTTGTGGTACCGTGGGGAACCTGCCATTTTCTGGAAAAAGCCAGAATTGCACAAACCGGAGGTGCTGAAGCTTTGTTGGTTGCCAATAACAGTGTCCTAGTAAGTTATTAAACTATAATAACTTCTTTTGAGTTATTGATATAAAATTTTACAGGAACTGAACTATATTCTTTGTGTGTGGTTTGGGGCTGAGTGTTTCAGGGGGTTTTTTGGGTTTTGTTTTAAACTTTTTGTTTTTCATTGGGATGTAGCCAATTAACAAACAATGTTGTGGTAGATTCTGAACAGTGAAGGGTCTCAGTTCAGATCAGTCACTCAGTCGTGTCTGACTCTTTGCGACCCCATGGACTGCAGCACGCCAGGCTTCCCTGTCCATCACCAACTCCCAGAGCTTACTCAAACTCATGTCCATCGAGTCAGTGATGCCATCCAACTATCTCATCCTCTGTTGTCCCCTTCTCCTCCCGCCTTCAATCTTTCCCAGCATCAGGGTCTTTTCCAATGAGTTGGTTCTTCACATGAGGTGGCCAGAGTATTGGAGTTTCAGCTTCAGCATCAGTCCTTCCAGTGAATATTCAGGACTGATTCCTTTAGGGTTGACTGATTGGGGTCTCAGCCATACATATACATGTATCCGTTCTCCCCCAAATTCCCCTCTCATTCAGGCTGCCACATAACATTAAGTAGGGTTCCATGTGCTATAGGGGCTGAGTTTTGAATAATATGATGGTAGTATTCTTAAACATTCTGGATATAAGAGGTGTTTAATTGGAAAATTTTGTTTCTTTTCCATTCGTAAAATAGACAAGATATGTTAGGAGTATGTGTGTGTGTGTATATAAAATAGCAGTTTAAATTTATGCTAAAAAGATTCCAGTTTGAATCCTTTTTAATATTATAATATTAAGAGAAAACCACATGAAACATTGTTTTATAACTTTAAAGAGATATTTGTATTTAATGAATAATTTGTACTTTACCAGTAGTTCATAAGTTTTCATAATATGTTTTCTTTTCTTTTAGTTTCCTCCCTCAGGGAACAAATCTGAATATCTTGATGTGAAAATATTGATTGCATTTATAAACCACAAAGACTTTAAAGATATGAAGCAGGTAAATTAATAATTATCTGTTAGATAAAGTTTATAAATAGTACAATTTTGTACTTTAAACCACTGATATTTAAATTATTATTTATGTTCCATTTGCTAGTAAGATGGAACTTGTTAGTCTCATTCAAGTCTTATTTAACCCCTCCCCATTTAGCACAAGGTGTTTCAGAGTCTTGATGTTTGAAAGGATATTTCTTTGTTTCAGCCTCTTTAAAATCTTTGTGTCATATCATTTATCTTAATTTTAAATCCTTAAACACAATGTCAATGTGTGAAACACCACACTTTTGCTTTTAATAAGGCAAAGCCTCATAATTTTGACAAGAGACTATATTGTGTTGTCAAAATAATTCTGTTATTCTTGACTGTCTTATATATCCTGTCCATTCCAGAATGAAATTGGAATACTGCTTCCATACTCTATAGTAAAAAGAAAGTGAATTCCAGTGTATTAACTGTTATTGTGCATTTCAGACTCTCGGAGATAACATCATTGTGAAAATGTATTCTCCGTCGTGGCCTGACTTTGACTATACTATGGTGGTTATTTTTGTAATTGCTGTGTTCACTGTGGCATTAGGAGGATACTGGAGCGGGCTAATTGAATTGTAAGCTTAAGTAAACTTCATTGTTTTTAAGATAAATAGTTAAAAAATTATTGTCTTTAATCATTTTATCATGTAACAACACTTAAAGTTCTACTTGTTCTCAGAATATAGTGCTGACAACGTTAGATTGCAGGTTTGTCCTCACGTAAATCTTTTAACTTTTCACTGAGAAGAAGAAGGAAACATTGAAATTTCACCAAAGTCTCTTAAATTAAAATGTTTAATTACCTCACCCAGAAAAGGTGGAGATAGTTAGCATCCTAATGTACCTATTCGCTTAGATTGAAAGAAAATAAACAGGGTGGAAATTTTTCAGCTCCTCCTGAGTTGAATCATTACAATGTGACCTCACCGTTCTAGTCAGTGCTTTAGGAATTGGATATTAATTATGCATGTCCATATTTTAATTTAAATATAGAAATTTCAAAAGTACATGAAATTTGGATTTGTCTATTTAATAACAACCTAAACCCAGTGTTCTTACAGTTATGTACCTTTGCTGTAGATTAAAGGCAGTGAGGAGAAGGCAGTGGCACCCCACTCCAGTGCTCTTGCCTGGAAAATCCCATGGACGGAGGAGCCTGGTGGGCTGCAGTCCATGGGGTCGCGAAGAGTCGGACACGACGGAAGCGACGTAGCAGCAGCAGCAGCAAAGGCAGTGTAGTTTAGAAGAATCAGTTCATTTTCTTAACTCTGAGTAAAAAATTGTGCTCAGAGCACATTATTTTGTGCATAAAGGACAATATGTTCACCTTGTGAGTAGATCTATAGATTCCACTAAGAAGGGCTTATTTGATGCCAGCTAAATCTAATAAGCTTATTTGTAATTTCTTAAAATACTAAAATTTGATTGACTTACAGTAAGAGAAATCTAACAAGCATAGATTCCTAGAATACTGAGCTTAAAATATTTTACATATTTGGAAAACACATTTCAGCATGTGTTAGTCACATGTCTTCACATAAGTAAGCATTATATTTTTCACTATTAATCTTTATAAAGCCTAGTATGGAAGATCTCCAAAATCATTTTCTAGATTGTATGGTAAAATGTTATAATTTCTGAAAAGCTGCTGATTCATTGAAAATGTTTTTCCATTTAATATAGATTCTCACTGTACTTACCTTATTATGTAAATTGTTTCTTTTCAAAAGTAGTGCTGCTCAAGCTGTAATGTGAATACAAACTGTCTTGAGATCTCATTCAGTTCAGTTCAGTCGCACAGTTGTGTCCGACTCTTTGCGACCCCATGAACTGCAGCACGCCAGGCCTCCCTACCCATCACCAACTCCTGGAGTCCACCCAAACCCATGTCCATTAAAATTTTTAAAAATTAAGATTTAGTAGACTTGGGGTGAATGCTGAGATTCTGCATTTTTTGACAAACTGGTCCATGGGCTTTGAGTTAGCAAGGCAAGCTTAATGTACCTGTCAGGATGGGCTCCTCCTCAAGAAAATTGGAGGTGGGAGAGCAGTACATACAAGATGACTTAATCATAAAACATGATGATGGACAAAAACAAAAAATGTATTGCCTTCAGTAACGAGGTTGGGAAAGAGATATCTTTTACCTGCAGAGTTAAGGATTTTGAAATTGAAGTGACTGATTCTGGAAGTAGGATAAAGATAGAAAAAACTAAGTGTATATGTTGTGGTTGGGAGTGACAGTATAGAGAAAGAGTATTAATCAATGATAAAATGGAAAAAGTTTCATAAAAAGTAGAGTTATTGACATAAGACCATTTACAACAGCATGGCTGGATTTTGAAGGTATTACTTACGTTAAGTAAAATAAGTCAGACAAAGATAAATACCTGAACATCTCATTTATGTGTGGAATCTTTAAAAAAATGAACTCATAGATGCAGAGAACAGATTGGTGGTTACCAGAGGTGGGGAGGTGGAGGGTGGGAAAAATGGGTGAAGGTGTTCATAAGGTACGGACTTCCAGTTATAAAATAAATAAGTCCTGGTGATGTACAATATAGTGACCATAGTTAATGATTCTGTCCTGCATATTTGAAAGTTGCTAATAAAGTAGTTCTTAAAAGTTCTCATCACAAGAAAAAAAAATCTTTTTAATTCTGTGCTAATGGGTGTGAACTAAACTTATTGTGGTAATCATTTTGCAATATATACAATTATCAAATCATTGTGTAATACACCTGAAACTAATGTTATATGTCTTCTATATCTTAATTTTTAAAAATAACACAGGAACAACTATTTAGCAAGTAAAGAGAGTTAGGCTGAAAGAGAAGGGAAAAGAGAATATGGCTTAGGGAGGGAAAAGTTTACCAGAACAGGACCTTATAACCCAGCATTAACCTGCCAAATGAAAGATGTACTTTATGCAAAAATGAAAAATGCCTTGATTCAGTATAAAGACTTTTCAGTAGAGAGTTAAACTCCTGTTATAATGAGCCCTCATATAACTGGTGAAGAAGAAAATGGCCACCTACTCCAGTATTCTTACCTGAAAAATCCCAGGGATGGAGGAGCCTGGCACACTACAGCCCGTGGGGTCTCAAAGAAGTCAGACGCAACTGAGCAACTGAGCATGCATGCATATAACTGGTCCTCGTCATAAACTCAAGATGACAGGAAAGAAAGCTTAGCTTCCTGTTGCCTGTGGCTCTCGACCTGATTTGAATACAGTTTTTTAAAAAGAGATGAGTTGTATTATTTTAATATGATATAAACCTAGAATATATTTTCCTTCAATAAATTACCTGGTATAAACTGAATATGAATATATAGCCTTTTGGTTATTGTACCTTATATGGGTTCTGTGATAGAAATGTCCTTAAATAAATGTTTGCAATTATTTTATCCAGAGGTGGGCATGTTTTCCCACTCAGGTACCACTTTTGTTGAAACTCTGTTAATACACTGTCATCTGGCGCTACAGTTTCAGGGAGGTGCTGTGTGTTCCTCCTCAAACCTTCTCCCTGCTCCTTTCCCAGGCAGCCTCCCTAGAGTCACAGATGTGTAGAATAGTAACCATCTTGATACGCAGTTTTCTGATAAAGTAGCATGTTGATAAATAAGCAATTTAGCAAATGTACAAGTTGATAGAAATAAATCTTTTTTTTTTTAACCTCACGTTTATATCGAGCCCAGACCTGGTGAAAAGGATCAGGATACATGAAAAAGGAATAGGGAACACCATTTTACACTTGATCTTAGCCAAAAGGCCGAGAAGCGTTCAGGAATAGTTTTAGTAGACCAGAGTTGAAGGGACTGGCGCTGGAAAAGTACGTTAGTGGCTTCTGTATAACTGGGAAGGGACAAGGTGACAGAACAGAAACTGTTCAATAAAAGAAGCTTGTGACCCTTTCCTCTTCACCTCCTGTGTCTGCCTTTCACTAGTTGTGTGACCCCAGAAGGGGTATTGGGAGAATTAAAACAATATTTTGCTACCTTGAATCAGGGTAGGACAAAGCTATGTCTTGAACTTCTTTTGAATCCTTCATAATATGTTGAAGAGCACCATACAAACTTAGTGAATACTGAGCTGGTATTCACTGATATTCTGTTCGCTGATAGAGTAAGTTAGTGTTTTTACATTGAAGAGAAGCTACTTTTAAAAGTAGTTTACTACCTGCAAGTTGGTAATATTAAGTGTGTGAAAAGAATTGGTTTTTATTTGAAACATTACATCAGTGTAGTTTCCAAATTAGATAATATAAACATCACCAAAAACATTAATTTTTATGTAATAAATATCTTCTGTTTCAACAGTTTTGTCTCCAGAAGAAAAGTTTCAAAAGTTAGTGGTTAATAACACACCAACTCTGAAGGGTAGAATTATAGAGAGTTTTTACTTCTAGATTAAGTATTTCTTCATGGTGTATAACTGTTTATGTTAACTTTGTAATCAGAAACAACTTTAAGTTAGTATTACAGATAGATTTTAAAAATAACTGTACTTGGCAGAGATTGCTGAAGTTTCTGTGTGTGTTTATGCAGGGAAAACATGAAAGCAATGACAAACACTGAAGACAGAGAAATGAGGAAAAAGAAGGAAGAATATTTTACTTTTAGTCCTCTAACAGTTATAATATTTGTGGTCATCTGCTGTATTATGATGGTCTTACTTTATTTCTTCTACAAATGGTTGGGTAAGAAATCATTTTATATTTGCTACTTTTAAGCATACAATCTTTTCATTTACTTTGCCAGATTTATCTTTTCCTTTAAGGCATTCAACTGGAAAACTTAAGTGAATAATTAAAAAGTGATATTAACTTTTAAACTGTCGAAAGTGTTAGGTCGCTATTACTCTGGGATTTTAAAAAAAAATCTGATTTAAAATACACTGTGACTCAAAATAAGAACACTTCTTCATGGACAACCTGAAAGAATTGCTGCAGTCCCTAAGTTTTCGTCTTTGCAGATAAAGCATTATAGACTGGGGGTATCTAAGCAGCAGACTAAGGATTTCTTGGTAGCTATATACAGTTGCATGAAATATAATAGAAGATTATTCAAATTATGAATTTACTGCTTCTACTTATTCCTAAAGTGTGATTGGTCTTTTTTGTCAGTTTGCAAATCAAAATGTTGTATTGCTTAAATTTTGTTTTACTTGTGTGAACATTAAGATCATACTACATCTAAAAACACACAGGTACTTGCTTGTAGTCTAGAGAGTAAATGATACTTTTTCCTTTAGGAAGGAAGGGGTCATGGCTTGCCCATCCCCTGAACAGTCTACTTAGTGTTCTGATAAGATGGAAATTTGCCATTTGTGGCCAACACATAGCAGAAAGAGAACGGAGCCCAGGGAAAAAGAGAGTGTGCCTAATGAGACTTAGCCAAAAACTCTTTGTGAAAACCACCACAGGCTACAAAATGTTTATTTAGAGAATAATAGTATAAGTTTCTGGAAAAATGAGGCCTTGGGTTAGTTTCACCTTAGTTTTCAATTTCTCCTCTCCTATGGTAGCGGTTTTAAAACTATACTTATATATATTTCCAATTAGAAAAAATTATTCTTGGAATATCACTCATATTTCAATATGTTGCTGGGAGAGTGGATACCATTGTGGTATTTGTATTATGTCGTCATTGCACAGCTAATTTTTCTGTTTTAAATTCTCAGCCTTCAATTGTGTGTCTGACCCTCAGTTGATATATTTAGTGGTCTTTAATAGAACAAAGAGATTTCTCTACTTTACCCTAAAGCATGTTTTAGTTTTTGGTAAGGGATTTCCTTAAACTCATCACTATTTAAAAATTGACCCTGTTTATAACTGTAATTTTCAGTGTAGGAGGAGGAAGATCATTAAACCTCATGGTTATCCCGTGATATGGTGTCTAATTGTGACTCTGACAATGGTGTGTGATATTGTGAAATTTAATATACTTTGAAATGGTTTCTTATGTCTAAAATTGACGCCATTTCTTAATATGTTCAATGTATTAAATTGCTAAGATTCTCCATACCGTTTTATGTTAAGTCATGCTCAAGAAAATAACTAAGGATGGTTATGTTTACCAAATTCTCTCTCATGCCAAATCATTTTCTTAGGTATAGTAGGATACTAAAACTCTGGTAGGGCTTCCACAGCATGACTTCCACTGGAGTTTAAAATACTGGTTTGGAGACCTTTGGTGGATGACTAAACAAACTCAACTTGGCAGTCTTTGATTGTCATTCTTACTACTTAGATTGTCATATATATGCAATAATAACAAATAAGCAAATGAAAAAATATTTTGTCCAAGACCACCAATTAGAAAATGGTTAATTTACTGCCCCTATTTACTGTCTCTAGTTTGCTGTCTTTTCTCACATACAAAACAAAGTTATAGTTTCCTGAAATCTAGTGGTTTTGCAAAATTCAGTTAAAATGTATATTTCCATTGTAACACTTTGAGAAATTTCACAAAGCAATACTTTTAGAGTATGATAATTTCTTCCTGTTTTTAACAACAGCAAGATCAAATGTTTTTAAGTAATTTTCAACCAAGTATAGCTAATATAGAAAAACATTTGTGAATTTTAGTACCTTAATATCATACCTAGACAATGAGGTTTGTTTAAGTGGATTTGGTTTTACCACATATAAAGTTATTAGAGATGAATTCCACCATAGGAAAATGTAGACATCATGATTAATGTCTAAGGTAGGTAGAAGTTCTCCCCTTTAAGCTTTTAAAAAATATTTTAGGGACACATGTATACCTATGGCAGATTCATGGTGATGTATGGCAAAAGCCAGCACAATATTGTAAAATAATTATCCTTCAATTAAAATAAATAAATTTTTTTAAAAAGTAAAACATTTCCACTAAAAAAAAAAATTTGAGAAATTTCACAAAGCAATACTTTTAGAGTATGATAATTTCTTCCTGTTTTTAACAACAGCAAGATCAAATGTTTTTAAGTAATTTTCAACCAAGTATAGCTAATATAGAAAAACATTTGTGAATTTTAGTACCTTAATATCATACCTAGACAATGAGGTTTGTTTAAGTGGATTTGGTTTTACCACATATAAAGTTATTAGAGATGAATTCCACCATAGGAAAATGTAGACATCATGATTAATGTCTAAGGTAGGTAGAAGTTCTCCCCTTTAAGCTTTTAAAAAATATTTTAGGGACACATGTATACCTATGGCCGATTCATGGTGATGTATGGCAAAAGCCAGCACAATATTGTAAAATAATTATCCTTCAATTAAAATAAATAAATTTTTTTAAAAAGTAAAACATTTCCACTAAAAAAAAAAAGTATTTTAAGGGGTTTATTAATTCTTCCATTTGCTACATTTAAATTAAATACAAATGTCTACAACTCACTTCATAGACATCTTTAACAAACATGTGACTTTGAATCATTGAATGATAAAATGCACAGCTACTAACATAAATCCTACCAATGTTTTCTTAGGTCAATCTCTGAAGGCAAAAGAGATAAAAGCAAAAAGAAACAAATGGGACCTAATAAAACTTAAAGCTTTTACATAGCAAAGGAAACCATAAACAAAACTGAAAGACAGCCTATGAACTGGGAGAAAATATTTGCAAAAGATGCAACCACCAGGGGTTAATATCTAAAATACACAAACGGCTCATACAATTCAATATCAAAAAAACAAACCACCCAATCAGAAAAAGGGCAGAAGACCTAAATAGACATTTCTCCAAAGACGACATGCAAATGTCCTATAGGCACATGAGAAGATGCTCAACATCACTGATTATTAGAGAAATGCAGATCAAAACTACATGAGGTTTCATCTCACACCTGTCAGAATGGCCATCTTCAAAAAGTCTACAAATAATAAAATTTTTGAGAGGGTGTGGAGAAAAGGAAACCCTCCTATCACTGTTGGTGGGAGTATAAATTGGTGTGGCCACTATGGAAAACAGTATGGAGGTTCCTAAAAATAGAGCTAACGTATAATCCAGGAATTCCACTTCTGGATGTTTATTCTAAGAAAACAGAAAACTAAGTAGAACGTGTGTGTGCGCCCTTACGTTCATTCGGGGCTTCCCTGGTGGCTCAGACAGTGAAAAACCTGCCTGTGTTGCAGGAGACCCAGGTTCAGCCCCTGGGTTGGGAAAATTCCCTGGAGTAGGAAACGGCAACCCACTCCGTATTCTTGCCTGGAGAATTCCATTGACAGAGTAGCCTGGCGGGCTGTAGTCCACGGGGTTGCCAAGAGTTGGACACGACTGAGCAGCTAATACTGTCTTTCTACTTTGATGTTCATTGTAGTGTTATTTACAATAGCCAAATTATGGAAGCAACCTAAATGCTCATCAATAGATGAATGGGTAAAGAAGGTATGAGATATATATATATAATGAAATATTACTCAGTCATTAAAAAACAATGAAATAATGCTATTTGCAATAACATGGGTGAACCTAAAGATTATTATGCTAAGTTAACTCAGACAGAAAGACAAATATGATATCATGTAGTGGAATCTAAAAAATAATACAGATCAACTTATTTACAAATTAGAAAGATAGACATAGAAAAGAAATTTACAATTAAAAGGGAAAGGGAAGGGATAAAGGGATAAAGTAGCAGTATAGGATTAACAGATATACCCGACTATTATAAAGATAAACAATGAGTATTATATAGCACAGGGAACTATATTTAATATCTTGTAATAGCCTGTAATGGAAAAGAATCTGAAGCTGTACACCTGAAACTAATACAGTATTATAAATCAACTGAAATAATAAAATTTTTTTAAAAAGAAAAAAAACTGCAGAGCTAGCTTATAAAAAACAATGAAATAATGCTATTTGCAATAACATGGGTGAACCTAAAGATTATTATGCTAAGTTAACTCAGACAGAAAGACAAATATGATATCATGTAGTGGAATCTAAAAAATAATACAGATCAACTTATTTACAAATTAGAAAGATAGACATAGAAAAGAAATTTACAATTAAAAGGGAAAGGGAAGGGATAAAGGGATAAAGTAGCAGTATAGGATTAACAGATATACCCGACTATTATAAAGATAAACAATGAGTATTATATAGCACAGGGAACTATATTTAATATCTTGTAATAGCCTGTAATGGAAAAGAATCTGAAGCTGTACACCTGAAACTAATACAGTATTATAAATCAACTGAAATAATAAAATTTTTTTAAAAAGAAACTACAGAGCTAGCTTCAACCCGCAAAGAAATCCTAGTAGTGTGTAGTGGAGCTGAAACAACATGTGAAATACCACTCTTAAAGCTCAAGATCTAAGTATGTTCAGTTTAGTAACCAATTCAGATTATGATATGGTCACTGCATTGAAAGTATTACGATCTAAAAGAAAGCTAAAGAACTAATATTAATTGTATAAAAGTTTTCTTATCATGTTTCCTTATCATGTTTCCTCTGTTCTCATATAATTTGGTGTCTTTTTTTCTAGTTTATGTTATGATAGCAATTTTCTGCATAGCATCAGCGATGAGTCTGTACAACTGTCTTGCTGCACTAGTTCGTAAGATACAATGGGGACGATGCACGTATGTATCTCTTGTGAGGAAGCCCATAATATTGGTTTTTGTAATTTAAAACAATACAAGGAAAAATAGGAGCTTTGTTGTAAACCTTTGAAGTCCAATATACATGTTGCTATTTTAATTAAAAATATTTAAAATTAAATAAAATTAAAAATTCAGTTGCCCAGCCCCATTAGCCAAGTTTCAAGTACTAAATAACTACATGTGGCTAATGGCTGTGGTATTGGACAGCACAGATATAGAGCATTTTCATCAATACAGTTCTGTTGAACTGGTGGATATTTTATTATGCATCATTCATTGTACTTAAAGTCAAGGCTTTAAAATTGACTTTTCAAAAACTTTCTTCTCACTGTGGCAGACATTCATTTGTTACATTAAGTGAACATTGTATTTCATCTTTAGGGTAAATTAATTTATTTCAAACTGTCTTTTAGGATTACCTGTTGTGGCAAGAGCTTTGAAGTGAGACTTTATTTTCTCTCTGGACTGTGCATAGCAGTAGCTGTTGTTTGGGCTGTATTTCGAAATGAAGATAGGTATGAATACTCACTGTATTTCCTTTTAGCTTAGACTAAGGGTGGGTTGTTTCATATCTTGCCTGATAATTGTTCATCATGGATTTTTTTTCCCCCAGAACATCCTAGTCTTGAAACATGCTAAATACTTAAATAAAGAAATCTTGTGCTAATGGATTTGAGGTTGTCTAGAGAAGGAAATGTAAACTAGGATTTAGACATCTAAACTGAAATAGGCTTCAAAAATACACTTATTTATGGTATAGCCACACAGTGAAGTGCAATGCAGCTGTCAAGAATGAAGATTTCTGTGAATTGATATGCAGTGATTTCCAGGATGTATTTTTAACTGAAAAAAGCCAAATATGCAAGAATATCTAGCCTATGCTACCTTTCATGTGAGAAAGAAAAAAATATAAGAAAATATACAGGTTTCTGTGTGTTTGCAGGAAGGATAAACAGAAAATAATTTTAACAGTTTATTTATAAAATTATTAAAACCCCAAAGGATGTAATGGCCCAAAATTTGGGAGCAAAGTTCATACAATTGTAGGCAGCTCCAAGTATGATAATCAGTTGGTAATTATTCATGCTATTATTTCTGGTAGAGTTTGATGTGTAGCTCTCATTTCCTTTATGCTTTAGCTATCTGGATGTATATTAACATCGTATCCTTTGTTATGAGCTACCTTTCTAAAAAAGAGACATGTAAAATTCAAAGATTAAGGATAAATATGTACTTCTGTCTGATACACTTCTGAAGCAGGCTTTCAGCTTTTTCTTATCACAGTAGTATTCATTATTCTAGTAGAACAATAAAATATGGAGACTCTTAAGAGGTTTTTCTGTTGTTATAACTGCTGCTTAATAGTTGAATAGTCAAATCATAGCAATTGAACAGTGTTGCTTTAGTGATATGTTTCTTTTGATATGTTCCACTTAAAAATAACTGGGTAAAACAATAGAGTAATTTCTTTTGATTTTAGGTGGGCTTGGATTTTACAGGATATCTTGGGGATTGCTTTCTGTCTGAATTTAATTAAAACACTGAAGTTACCCAACTTCAAGGTAAAGTAGACTACTTTGCTAGCTAAAATATTGCTTTCTTTTTAAAACAATTTTATTAAGGTATAATTTACAAATAATTAAATGCACCTATTTTAAGTGTACAGATTATCAAAACTTTACAAATATGTAACTTTGTAACCACTATCCCAGTCGATTATAAAATATTTCTTACCTCATCAAAAGCTCTATCATGCCCTTTATCAATCAGTCCTAATCCCCAACCCATGAAACCACTGATTTGCTACATAAAATATTTTTTTTTACATAAAATATTTTTAATCATTCACATACTATGCCAAATTCATATAATCCGTACAAGACTAAAATCAGGAAAGAACATTTCTTTGCTTCAGTGATTCTTTTTTAAAAGAGAGGGTTGAAGCAGATAAAGTTTTAATGTGATTTATAGAATAAAACTACAAATAGTAATAAACATTAAATGCCTTAAAAAGTAGTGTTTAAATATATGTTACATGTTTATTTGTATTTGCAAAATAATATCTCTTAATTTAAATATGAGAAGTTTGACCTTTAAATTTGTTTCTTTCTTCAACAGTCATGTGTGATACTTCTGGGCCTTCTTCTCCTCTATGATGTATTTTTTGTTTTCATAACACCATTCATCACAAAGGTATGATATTTTTAAATGCATAGGAAACATACTAAATGATTAGAATCTTAAATATGCTCTTAGAGTATTGATTTTCCAGATGTTTACCATTGACTGGGTAATTCTCTTAAGAGAATTGTCATTAAAATTGGCCTTTTACATCACTTATTCTGCCATTGAACCAAATAACAGCCATAGGCAAAGCATTGACACCAAGCTAACTGAAATAGTTATAGACGATACCCTGGACGGTCCCTTTAGCAACTGTACATATTTCTTTTTAGAGAACTCTTAATGACTTTCATTGGACACTAGGGATTTGAAACCTGCGAAACCAGTTAAGCTATCACTAGTGTGCTCTGTAGAAGGATGAATTACTTGACTTCGGTTTCATCTGAGCGGAATTTGTCGTCAGCTGTGGATTGTCATGTGGCACCAGGAACTCTTAAAAACTGTGACACTAACAGTGAAACAAACCGAGGGAAAAACTGTCACTTTCTGCACTTTGGCCCCATCTTACCAGTCTTTGTCAAGGGCAGTATTTTAACACTAATGTTTCTCAGGTATATACTCAGCTAGTGTAGGACGGTTGTGCATCCGTGAAAGGATCAAAGAAGAAGGTGGCCTTTGGGTGGCTGTCATTTCTCCTACTGCCACAGAGAGAAGTTTTTAGAGGTATAAATGAAGTCTTCCTATCTGCAAAGATGTGCGTTGCCATAAGCTGTCTTGAATGTGGGATGTGTCCTAAGAGATGGCAAGTTGGATAGCCAGAAAGCCGATCACTAGTAGTTAAATTTTTTTTTCCCCTTGTAAATTTGCTCACTAAGGTCATTGGGGTTTTGAAATGGACTGAAGAAGATTCCTGGAAAAAAAGAAATGGATTCTAGATTGGATGCATAAATCTGTGCCATTTCCTTTAAAAAAAAGGCCTTTTAATATTTTAATAGAGGATATTTTTAAGCCTTTACACCATTTTGCTAAAAAGAAAAAAAAGCTTCCTGATTGATGTAAACATGAGAATGTCTATAAGTTTTCTTCCTACACATTTTAAAGTAACTTTTCTTCCTTTTATAAAACAATAAATATTTGTTGTAGATAATACAGACAGCAAAAAAGAATGAAAAGCTGTCATTGCTTCTTTCATTTCTGTAACCCTAGTGTGAGACTAAGAAAGAGCCCAACACTGGAAATCTAGAGACCTAAAGTGTAGATCTGTAACTCTATAACCCTGAGCTGCTAGTCACTTAGCCCTCAGTTTCCTAATCATTTGAGTGAAGGGAGTATTGCTAGCATTCTATCCTCTGTTTCCATCAGTAGAATTCTTTTGGTTGCTTCTGCCAGAATCCAACCTAACATTTCTATATGAAAGAGGTCCCATCTATTCAGAATATGTGCAAAGGCCAGGGAGGGCCTGTCCTCAGGAGAAACTAGACCCAGGGGCACATACTCTTCCTTCCCGCTTCTGTCCACCTTTTCTTTGTCTCAGACTGGCTTTTTCTACGAGGTTAGAATCATAGCAACTTGAAACTCCTAGGTCATCTATTCCCAGCTATACCACTAGCTCCTCAATAAAATCATAGTGCTGTCCTTAGAATAAGGGAGAGGTGTTGGGTGAGTGTGGTAGTCCTTCATTATTGGCCCAGTTTTTCTACCTTGTCCCTATTCCTGTCTCATGAATGTGTTATTAATTATTGCTTAATTCTTCTACCTTGTCCCTATTCTTATCTCATGAATATATTACTAATTATTGCTTAACTCTTCTACTTTTCCCACTTTGAGTTTCACTTTCTAACTTTATATCATTTTTTTATCCTTTGTCACTTTCATACATTTAGTATTTTATAATGACTTTTTCCCCTTACAGTACTTTATTTTTTAACCTCTGCTATCTGTGAAATACCTACATTTCTGATATTGGCTATGATGGCATAAGACAAACATATGCCCCATTGGGGAGCTAAAATTGCAACTAGGTAACAAATGTAATTAACTGTCCCAAAATACTAGTACTTCTTCATGCTTTAATGATGAACCATCTGGCTCATTGACTTAATTTGCAGTGGTAACCTAAAAAAGCATAGAACTAGTATAATGAGTTATAGCAAAAGCTGTTAATTTACTAAAGCATATTTTGAAGTTTGGTCTAAACTTGTTCTAGCTTGTGTCAATTTATTTGGTTTAAAAATGTTTCTATAAGTCACTCCGTCACAGATCTCATAATGAAAGTAAAGCACTCTCTCTACAAAACCATTCCCATAGGTTAATGGGTAGTCATACCGTATGACTACCCGTTTAGGCTTCCCTGGTGGCTCAGATGGTAAAGAATCTGCTGCAATGCAGGAGCTCAAGGTTTGATTCCTGGGTTGGGAAGATCCCCTGGAGAAGGAAATGGCAACCCACTCCAGTATTCTCACCTGGAGAATTGTGTGGGCAGAGGAGCCTGACGGGTTACAGTTCATTGGGTTGCAAAGAGTTGGACATGACTAAGTGATTAGCACTTTCATACCATATGACACTTACATTGCACAGTGAACATAAAAGTTATAACTAAACTCTTTTCTAAAAATAAATTTTCCATTGTGTTTTAACACTAGTATCACTTTATAAATGCCAAACTTGTCTGCCAGCAAACTATGTCCATTCTGTACACATAAAAATGTCAGGATTTTAAAGGTATATATGGTAATAGTAAAGATGTCTTTGAGTCTTTGTTCTTCTGTGCCTAGGGAATTTTTCTTCTTTTTTTTCATCTTTGATCCCACTGACTAGAAGTGTGACTTCTAGTAATATAACCCAATGGAAAAGATTGACGTGCTCTTTGGAGTTCACTCTTGTAGATTTACCTAAACACTGTCTTCTCAGTTTGGTTTGTTAGGCAAATCAAAATGAAAATCAGATACATGATTTCTGATTTTTGTGGTTTTCACTGTAAGTTTCAAGAATTAAATATTAGACATTCTAAATATCTTCTTGACCCTGGTATTAGCAGATTTTTAATGAGTTAGCAGGGCAGGTAGCATAGGAGTACAGGTAGTAAGAGCCTGTCTTGGTTTTTTTTTTTTTTCCTTCATCTACCACCATACTTGGTATAGTGTCTTGCAAATAGTAGTTTCTCAGGTAGATATCTTTGAATGTATGAGAGGATGTCAGTAATAGTCTTCAGTTAAATGTTTTAAATAGCAATTTGAAAATGAACCAAAATAAGCTCTTTATCTGGAAATTGAATCACATCATAGGAGTTTCCTGTAAGCAACTGTATTTAATATTAGTTTATTTTCAAAAACTCCTGTGATTTAACCCTTCTGTAACCCAAAGCTTAACATGAGGAAAAGATTTCTGTAGCCAAGGAATTTATTCTTTTTTCTACTCAACTCAGGTATCAGTGAAATCCTCTTAAAAGTGAACTCAGGTAATTTATTCTATGCTCCCCACACCCATGGAAAATAGTATAGCTAATCAATCAAATTTTCCTAAAAATTCAGCATTTATTTATCTTCCCATGACCTGTTTGGGGCATTATTTTAAGTGTAAGATGGGTGCTCATGCAGTCTTAGCTTGCTCCATCTAAATGTTTCCCCTCTTCCCGGTAGACTTTGCTGTCAGGAAAGAACTTTTTAATGAATTTCTCACACAGCCCACATAAAAAGACCTTAGACATGCACAAGGAAAAAATTCTGCTAAGGTTAATGCTTTGATTGGTGCATTAAGAGCAGGCAAAGCTGAAATTGGACAAGAGTCAGGATAGAGACATGTTCTCAAGTTCTTTAGGGCTTAATCTTTTCGAGTTTGGCTTCATTGTTATTGTGGTGAGTAGACAGAAGGTTAAAATATGTATTTAAATAAAGTCATCGATTTATTACAAATCTGTATATAAAAAATTTCAGTATTTCTTCTGTCCCTGTTCATTGTTATTGCTAAAAATAACTATGACACATAGTATATGACATAAGTAAAAGCACTTAAAATGTATAGCCCATAGAAGAAATGCTAGATATTAGTTGTCAGGATAAATCTGTGCTCAAACCTTCAGTTGAATAAGTTTTGTGTGGTTTATCTGTAAGTTTCTCTTATTTTTTGAGCTCTAATAAAGTGAAGTAGCATACTAGGTGAATTTTGTTTTAGATAACTCCAATTTTTGTTATCTACAGAGACCATTTTAGAAAAAAATCAGTCTACAGATGACTTTCCATCAGCTTATGGTAGGCCATAGCCATGGCAGGAGATCATGAATGTGTGTGTGTGTATGTGTGTGTGTGTGTGTGTGTGTGTGTATGTGTTCAATCATATCCAACTCTTTGCGACCCCAAGACTGGGGCCCACCAGGCTCCTCTGTCCATGGGATTTCCCAGGCAAGAATACTGGAGTGGATTCCCATTTCCTTCTCCAGGGGATCTTACCGACCCAGGCATCAAACCCACATATCTCGAGTCTGCTGCATTGGCAGTCAGGCTCTTTACCACTAGTGCCACCTGGGAAGCCCTAGGTCATGAATACTTGCAGATTGTTCACTTTAAGTGATTGAACAATTTCTTTTACCTGTCTTAATTTTAGAATGGTGAGAGTATCATGGTTGAACTTGCAGCTGGACCTTTTGGAAATAATGAAAAGGTAGGGGTGGCAATTAAGTACAAATGGCTGCCAGTGTATTTGTGTGTGTCCGGTTAATAATTTTGCTTTCCTGTGTAATTCATTGGTCATGTAGTGCATGTTAAGGTATTGTAAAGCTTTGTTTCTCACAAAATATAGCCCTTTTGTTAGTTATTCTAAATTATTAAATACCTATTGACTTGGGTTTCATCCTAGAATGATGGAAACTTGGTGGAAGCCACTGCTCAACCATCAGCTCCCCATGAGAAAGTAAGGATTGTATTTCAGATATGTTCATTGGACTTTAAATCATACCCTCTCAGACAAGACTCTTCTTTGGGGAAAAAAATCCAGATTGTTTAAAAAAAAAAAAATCTCTTTCAAGGCCTGAGTCCTCTATTTTTGGTAAAAAGGAAAGAAAAAAACGTTAGATATGGGGATACTGGATTCATACTCTTAACCCTACATGTGTGTTGGGTTTTGTTTCTCCATAACTACATATCTATGTCTTTCAAGCTTTCTATATATTCAGAGTGTATATATGTTTAATTTATGTTCTCTGATTTCAAGCTTTTTTCCTCCTCATATTTCTAAAATGTTAATTTTAAAACATTAAGTTATTCTAACATCAATCCTTCCCTTTCTGAAGATATGGGTAAAGATTCCTAAGAGGTTTATTGGTGGTCTCTCTCTTTTTTTTTTTTTTTTTGTAATTACAGTTACCAGTAGTCATCAGGGTACCAAAACTGGCCTATTTCTCAGTAATGAGTGTGTGTCTCATGCCAGTTTCAATATTGGGTTTTGGAGACATCATTGTACCAGGTAAGCAGTTGTTTGTAACAATTTGAGTGAAAGTAGACTGATGATTTAAAATTGTCAGATGTGCAGTATCAGATATAAAATGTTAAAAGTTACCTGCTCTTTAAGTATTTCTGGCTAATGCTAGAGCTGGGATCAGTGACAGGAATGGAGAAAAAGTGTTTTGATGAGTAGAAGATAAAGCCCAAATAGTAACAACCAAAGTATATCTCCCATGGCTCAAAAAATGCCTTAGAAGAAGTAACTAGGATCAATTTGACCTCTTACCCAAGAAAGTATATCATAAATCCCCTTTAAAAGTTGAGTTTAATAATGCCAAATATATTATAATTTCTGTTACTTATGTTTTAAAACAATAGTTATTTGTTTAAACTAAGTTATATAAACTAAGCAAGGTCGTGATAAAGAGGAAAACACCGTAGAACAACAGCTTGTTGGGCATTATAATACCAAAAAAATACAGTGTTTGGTGGAATTGATTGCCTTCTCCTAGAATGTCTGCTCTGACAGTTACTGCAGTTTGGCCTATTTTCCTCACTGGGCTACCTATAGAATAAACTTAATCCCAGCCCAGGAATAATATAGTATAGAAGTGATTAATAATGTTTCTCGGGTAGAGAGGGAGGTGGGAGGGGGGATCGGGATGGGGAATACATGTAAATCCATGGCTGATTCATGTCAATGTATGACAAAACCCACTACAATATTGTAAAGTAATTAGCCTCCAACTAATAAAAATAAATGAAAAAAAAAATAAAGTTGAACAAAAAAAATAAAAAATAATGCTTTTCAGTCAGCTGGTAGTGCGTCCTTCCTCACTTTTCTTACTCTCTCCTTGTGTACTAATAGGCTGTGCCTAGGTAAAGAGTAGTGGCTCTTCTGAAAAAGCCCTGTCATTGACATAGTAAAGCTAGATCGAGAAACGAATAGTGTTGCCATGTGAGCTGGATGGCAAAGTCCAGTGTAGCAGCTCTCTTAGCCCAGTGAGTCTCCTCTCACGTAATTGGTAAAGTAGGGAATGCTTTCTATTAAGTAACCTTAAAGTTCTTGAATGTCTTTAAACTTACCCTTCTCTTTACCAGTCCCACACCATGTGCTATTAAAAGCACATAGCATAGAATTGGTGAAGACAATGTGCTAGCTAATAAAAATTATGTTTTTAAAGACTGTTTAATGGCTTAGGAAAATGCTTAATATATGGTATTAAGTTTAAAGAAATCAGCATATAAAATTTTGTCCAAATTTGAGGTACTTTAATGTTCTAATGACGCAAAAATGAATGTTAAATACAATGCAACATGTACTTTTACCATAATTAACAACTGCATTTGTATTGCTATTGTTATTTTAAGACTGTCATGTGAAATTTTCTTTAGGCCTGTTGATTGCATACTGTAGAAGATTTGATGTTGAGATTGGTTCTTCTATATACTATGTTTCCTCCACAATTGGTAAATTTTTGTTTTTTCTTTTTGTTATATTGAGTTGTATCACCTGTAGGAAAAGGTCTAAAAGTAAGGAGTCCTGGATTCTAATTCTTCACCATTAATTAATAGGATGCTTTTTCCATCCAAAAGAGATATAGTTTACTACCCTATATCACAAGGTTTTGATGTTTGAAAAGGAAATTATATATGAAAGAAGATTCTACACATAAAAAGCTTACTAGAGCATATGGCACATAGGTAGTTGATACTAGTATAATACTAGGTTTTTAAAAAATTCTGTGTAATAATTGCATATTAATATAAATAAACTTATGGGCACAATAATACCTGGGACAGCAGAGGTAGTTGTTACTTGTCTTGCTTCTTTTGTTGAAAACAGACAAGAACAAGCAATAAGCCAAAAAATACTTCTCTACTTCTGAACATGTCAAATATATATCTCAAAATCCATACACCAAAATTCTTTATTCTTAGGTAAATGGCCTGCACCAGAGCCATTTAGATACTGTTCTAGAAAGGTTTTTAATTCCACAATGGAACTAAATCTTGTAAATTGAAAGTGTACATCAGCAGTTAGAAAAGGGTTTTTCTAGAAATAGTTACTCTGACAGCAAGAAAGAACAGCTAAATGAGTGAAAGGATGAAGAAAGGGGGGAAAATTATAAATAAATAATAAAAGCAGTCCGAGGCCATTAAGTACGATACTCCCTAAAGGCATTAACATGTTAGCGTGCAGCACTAGTCAGTGTGATCGAATAAAAAAACATTCAGTGAAAAGACAAAAAAAGACTATAAATTAGGACAACTCACTTAACTTCACTGGTCCTCCATTGCCTCATTGTACTTCAGTATTCGTCCATTGTAACTTTGGGCAACTCTCTTCACTGGTCCTCCGTTGCATCATCTCTAAAACGAGAAGGTGGACTGCATTGTCCGTAAAAACCCTGTGAGTTCCAGTTTTCTGAGACCCAGTGTTCATAATGAGACCCAGGGTCATCAAATATGACCCAGGGTCATATCAAATGAAGTTTGATATGCAGTTGTTGAAGACGACCAGGAAGTATATAATCAATAATAGAAAGATTTTTTAAAACAACCTTTGGTACCTGTAGGCACAGATTTTAGTTATCTAGTATGTGGAACAACTTAACATCCTTAATATTAAGGTGGCAGATAACTGAGACTTTCTTAAATCATTATCTTTATCAATGATTAAGGATTAATTATGTTATTAATGATTAATTATAGTGGAAATACTAAACAGTTTCCACATTTTTCAAAAGCTCTGTAGAATGTCTCTCCTGACTACTCTCTAGGATAATAATGAAATTATGAAAAGAAGTCATAAGGCAAAAACATTCTGAGAAATATTGAAAACCAGTACTTTAGTGAGAGTATTAAAATCCACCTTTGATAGCATAAAAATGACTGATACTTGATATTCTTGCAGCCTATGCCATTGGCATGATTCTTACATTTGTTGTTCTGGTGCTGATGAAAAAGGGGCAACCTGCTCTCCTCTATTTAGTACCTTGCACACTCATTACTGCCTCACTTGTTGCCTGGAGACGAAAGGAAATGAAAAAGTTTTGGAAAGGTAGCAGCTATCAGGTATGTGCTTATATATTGGTTACCAAGTTATGACATTGCCTAACTTTGGTTGGGAACTACTTGTATATATCAAAGCTTTATATATTTATTCTCAAAGCTTTTACATGCCTAAAAGTTGGCCTTGAATTTATCAGGGTGTCCTAAGTTTTTTTCCATCACTACCCCCTTACTTGTCACCTGCTGCATCATCACTTCTCATCCTCACTGCAATCTGATGCCAAAATTCTGGTGACTCAAGATAAAAGTACCAAGAAGCATGGGAGGGCATCAGGGAAAATCAAAACAGCATTTCAACATGACTTTTCAGAATCCACACAAAAGTCGACTTCATGAAAGATAAGAGCCATGTTTAAGCACTAAATTTTGATGCTGACACCACTAGCTGTTTGTAGTAAGAGTCCTCAGGTTTTGCAGGTAAAAAGTATACTCTCTCCAGCATCTAAATGGGCCCAACCAAATGAAAGTGGGCACTCATTTCAGGTTTAAACGGATCAAGACTGCCTTTTCTGTAAAATTCCTACAACAGAGAATATCCAGGTAGCAGAATCTATGATGTTTGAGTTGTTTCTCCATTGAAGTTAAAGCCCTTTGTTCTTTTCCTAAATGTTATCAGTATTCCTCTAAAGTTTGTTTGTTTGCATTGAAATTAAAGAGAGTTGGGAAACTCTAGCCTGTTGAGGTCAGGGTCATGGCATTGATTCCTTCATNAAGGGCAACAGATTTGAGATAAGATGATGAATTCAGTGTTGGAAATTTCAAAATACCTAGAGGACTACCAGGAAAAGAGAAATCAGCAGCTGAATAAACATCTGATATGCAGGAGATAGGCCTAACTAGAGACAGAAATTTGGGAGTGCTACTAGCATTCTCTGAGTGAGTGAGAATGTAGAGGCAGAAGAAAAGACTCAAGACAGAACTGTGACCAAGATATTTCTACTTTTAGGGGCACTTAACTTATTAACTGATTATGAGGTAAATCAGGAGGAGGAGGATGATCAACACAGGGAAACTTTGTTTAGGGTTGGCATTAAGTCTTTTTTAAGTTAGCATTTAAATTTGGGACAGCTAGTGAGAGCACATGGTACCGTCTTATGGAATTAAGTATATTTGCTGTTATCTTCATCACCAGTATTTCATTTTTACTTGTAAATTTTTCTTTCTCCTTTAGTACAGCTTTAAGGGTGCAGTGGTTTATTATAAGCACCTTTCCTCCTTTCTCTTTCTATGCTGTTTATTGAGGAGAAAGGAGATGCTAGGTAAGAATGGATTTCAACCAAGGGATACATTTATATTCCCTATGAATAAGTGCTTGGCCCTGGACCATCTGAATTTTACTCTTAAAAATCATGACTTTGAAATGATGATTCTACTTCATAGCAGCTGCTGCTGCTGCTGCATCACTTCAGTTGTATCCGACTCTGTGTGACCCCATAGACGGCAGCTCACCAGGCTCCCCCGTCCCTGGGATTCTCCAGGCAAAAACACTGGAGTTGGTTGCCATTTCCTTCTCCAATGCATGAAAGTAAATAGTGAAAGTGAAGTCGCTCAGTCGTGTCCGACTCTTAGCGACCCCATGGATTGCAGCCTACCAGGCTCCTCCATCCGTGGGATTTTCCAGGCAAGAATACTGGACTAGGTTGCCGTTGCCTTCTCCATTCATAGCAGCTACTATAAAGTTTAAGATTATTGGAGCTAGACCCAAAGCCATAGTAAGCACCCCGGAACTGTGGACTCCAGGGCCTTAACTTTAAGACACAGAAGCTAACTAAAAGAATTGATTGTAGGAAAATCCGTTTTAAAGAGTCTGAAAAGTTAGGACAGTTTTGGTTATACACTTCTCACTTGTAGTGTGGTATCATAATTTCACTGGAGAGGGAAATAGCATCCCACTCTAGTATTCTTGCCTGGAGAATCCCATGGACAGAGGAGCCTGGTGGGCTACAGTCCATGAGGTTGTGAAGAGTTGGACATGACTGAGCGACTAACACACACGCACACACATCATAATTTCATTAGGTAAGACATTCAGAATTCAAATACCACATAGTAATAAACAGTACGGAGTCTGGTGCCAGACCACCTAAGTTTGAAGTTTTGTTAATTATTAGTAATGTGACATTAGGCAAGTTACTTAACTTCTCAGTGCCTCAGTTTCCTCCAGTGTAAGATGGGATGGGAATCAGTCTACCTTACAGAGTTACAGATTCAAACTGCTTAGCACAGTCTATGGCATATCATTAGCACTATGAACGTATTTGCTATTATTATTTGTATGAATTTAGTTTTTTGGTTTGGTTTAATTTGTTGCTTTGGTGATCATCTTTCTCTTCATTAACTGATTTTCGTTTTCCTGTTTTGAATATTAAAACTTTGAATATTTGTTAAATCTGCTTTCTTAACTTACTTGCGAAAGGCCATCACAAGCCTCAGAGAAAAGATTTTGTTAAACATGGTCATTTTCCCATAGTGCACTAAATTTTAAAATATTATGAATGGACATTTGCTGAACTTTTAGGCAAGCTAGTTGCAGAATATTATAAACTGCTACCAGGAGATAGTCTATTTTTCCCTAAACTAGGGCTTCCCTCATGACTCAGATGGTGAAGAATCTGCCTGCAATGCAGGAGACCCGGGTTCGATCCCTGGGTCGGGAAGATTGTGTGAAGAAGGGAATGGCTGCCCACTCCAATATTCTTGCCTGGAAAATTCCATGGACAGAGGAACCTGGTAGGCTACTGTTTATAAAGTCACAAAGAGTCAGA